TCGCTCATTCACAGTTAGCGTCGTTGATTTTTAAAAGATCGACCTCTAATTGGTACGCTAATACAAATGTCGAAAGTTGCACTATTAGAAACAGCAAACGAATATTCCGCGTTCATAAGTCGAGCAAACTTGAGAAAAATATCAGCGAGTTACATCTCGATTAAGTGATGCTTGAATCCTATTCAAAATTTTCGCTCCAGGTATTTCAACGACATATTTAGCATAACATTGAATCATGTTTTTTTGAAAGTTGATTTCTCTAGAATACGTAAATGATGATATTTCTAATGGAACGTTGTTGGGATCCACGCTGCCTAGTTTTAGGCTTGCCGCAGGAGCTAGATTGGTAAACTCGAATACGTTATTTGTGCCGTTTTGCTGACTGCGTCGCCAACTCATCATTCAGATGTGCATCGTCTCCTCTACGGCTGCGGCATGATCCACATCTCTGACTTGCTCCGTATCTCGAACTTCGGAATTAGCCATGCCTGTCTGTGAGTCATTATATTTGCAGCCTGATCAGAGGTTCGACGGAATTTTTTCCTAGTTCGTTCACCCAAAGAACTATAAAGAGTTTTTGTGGGAGGTTAAACCTGCGGCGTCTGTTAGCGGATACGTCGAATTTAAACATGTTTACAGCTCTCAGCAATAGAGGTGAAGAATTGGCGAGCTAAAAGTCTGTCATTACGGATTTCAAATTCAAATTGCTGTGCTTTGCTTTTTTATTCAACATTCACTATTTCCTCCATTATTATCAATTATCCCGGAATTTCCAAGGGTAGTGACAAATACAACATGTGTGTCCGGCTAGCCTTAAGATTAGATTTCCATTATACACGAAATGCCAAATTCTAAAAAAAAAAAAGTTGAATTTGTCGATGTTATGTGGGGTACGGGGTGCACATCGTTGACAGGCATTAAGCCCAAGTTATCGCTAGTAAAATTTTTCCTGCGGCTTATTAACGGCGGCGATTGTTTTAGATAGATGCTGGCGTTATCGCTTACGTGTAGGCTCGTTTTGCAACACATTAGTGAGAGTGTGAATAACTGCCAGCACTGCCATAGAAAACAAAATGCAATATTTATTTGGACGTTTTGTTATTAGAATTTAATAAACGCTTAATAGTATATTTAATCCCGATCATTTCTTTATAGATACATATTTCGATAATATAACCTATGGAGTTTCTTTATCTTTGAATAGGGGGCAAGAACACATTTGAAATGCATTATATTTATATTTTTTAATTATGAACAATTTTATTAAACTGTATTAGGCCGATTATTGAGAATGTTGCCAGCAACGTAATGAGCTGTCGTTTGCACGCTAGCCACCTTTAGCAATTTCTTACGCTCATCTATTGCAGCAGATTGCCCGAAATGATTGTGAGTCGTAAAACTGCACAGAATAATAGTGTCGTTTACTTAGTATATACGTTTTGCTGAGCCGTGTATGAGATCTGTAGGTTTACTCTTATGGGATTGCTGAAGCTCATTGGCTGGCTTCGATATTAAGTGCTAGGTGCTAATCCGCTGCTGTTTGATACAGAAAGATTTGTCGAATCTCATTAATTAATAGGTGTGCGTGTTCACCATTTTTTTTACCGTGTAACGGTATACAACTCAGCACAATCCTCATAATACCAATAGTAATAATGATCAGGAGGGGAATTAGCAGTCGTTCCACCATGATCTTTATCTAAAAATATTCAATATTAACTTCGTGAAGTGTAATTATGGTCGTGTGTAAAAACGTATATTTCAATGTAACGAATTGAGTACTTACCATATGATGCGGCTGGATTTTGTGGCCGTACTTTTTGGCCGTACTTAATGCAACAATACGCATTACAGCTGTAAACTGATTTCTTTGGGAAACTGCATATGTCAGCGTATACGCTATTCGTGGATGTCGTGTTTTAAGATATATTAGGCTTTCTTTTTTAGTACAAACCTATGAACCTAACGATATCTATTACGAACCATTTGACTAAGATCAAGAAATACGAGAATCCCTAATGGCGCAGTTTGAGCCTGTCATATACAGGATGCCCTTGGTCTGACGCATGTTAGTGGCGTTTATGGCGGCGTTGGCTAGGAAAAGATTTTTGATTTCGCAATCTCCTCCTCCTCCTCCTGTCCTACTCTATCCAAGGCATGACATAGTTTCGACTCTATCTATTTCGTTGCTTGAACCCGAGAGCAGACAGCTGCAGCAGGCCACAGCGGATCCTACATAGGCTCTCCTTGCATTAAACAGTTGTTTAGCTACGGTTTGTGTTTCTTACTTCTTTGTTAAAATTAGCAAGTTATGATTAAAGGTTGAATTCGCATATAAAGCGGTGTTTCAGTATGTTTTTATTTCTGTTTTCTTAGAACGTGAATACATTGTGTGATCATAATTGTAGTAATATAATAAATTCGCTTTTATATACATACATCATACGAACAACGTTAAAACGATCACAGATCATTATAGGCATTCGAAATGCCAATTTTCCCATGCAAAATGATCTACTAATTTAGATACGATAATGGTTTAATTACATTGCTAGCTGTAGGCTCTTACAGTTGCTCTTTGGGCCACTCAAACTATTTCTGTGTCGTGTTGGTATTGACTTGGGGAATCGGATAGGCCCTGGGTTATTAAGTGTCTTCATACCGCTGCTATTATCTACATCGAAAGCATTCGCGATGCTTTGAAGCTAAGAAAACTTATGCCTTAATTGTTTGGCGTTGAACGTCCAGGCACGAGGTAATGCACGGAGTGTTCTTGATAGAGTAGGGCGGGTGGCCACTAAGTGGAATAAGTTGAGTAAGTAAAGGCCACCAAAATGGCCAGTCTATGTACGGGAAGCCCAAGCAACAACATTTATTGATTCTGTTCTTAATTTTTTTAGTCGTGATTTAGAACAGCTAAGTTTTATTCCTCATAAACGTTTAACTTTTACTTTGGTGAGGTAGTACACAATCGGGTAGGCGGCAATTGACCACACGAGGTTTTCTTCAGTTTTGTCTAAAGATTGTCGTTACTTTCTTCTTGCTCCTGCATATGAAACATTCATTTTAATTTAATAAGTATGTTTGTAATGTAACATGTGGTGTATATGTAATAATATGTATAAAAAAGGTTAATTCTGACAACGATTTTCAAGACAACAATTAAGATCAATCGTCTAACTCCGGAGTATATCGTATAATCAATCATATAATATCGTATCAATCGTATAATTGACCGACAGAGAAAAGTGGATTTCATATACAGAGTCGCGTACAGATGCGTTTAGTAATAAAATGTAAACCAGTTGTTCGAAATATTGGTTTTTCCAGCAGATAAAAAGCTAATTTTGCACTAATAATAAATGTTTTGTTCTTTATATATTTAATCTGTTTCTTTGTTGTCGTATCTAAAGTATTAATAGAAACTAATATTATACACATTATACACTCGCATGATGATTCTTTTTTTTTTTTTGCTGTTTCCACTACCAAGTTTCAGCATTTTAACTATAGCAATTACAATTTAACTTAGCTTGTCGAGAACTTTCGATTGGAAGTTCAGGAACAGGTATTTTATTGGAATGATTTTTGTTTTGACGTTTTTGAAAATGGATTTTGCATTAGCTCTTAATTGTACAATTATTGACAATTGTTGTTAAAAAAATACTCTAAAAAACCAGCACAGTTATGTAGTTAAAGTAGACAATGTTTGCCATCTTCGTATAAAAATACCAACTTTACATATTAGGATATATAATGCATTTTTACTTAGTTCATCATGATCTGATTGAAAAACGCTCTTTTTACGTAAAACTAATGTTTTTACACTTTAAGCGGCATTTTAGACCTGACATAAGATTTAAGTTTAGGAATGCTGCATTCGAGTTTATCAACAGCTTTCAACTGGCGTCACACAGGGCCAAACAATTAAGTTTCCGATATATTGCCCAAAAATCTTTGAGCGCATCATAAAAAAAAATTGTTCACCAAAACGTTCGCTAAAGAATGGCTACAACTAACCAATTGATTCCTATCAGGAATTCTCTCAAAAAAGGTCCTAAAATGCATTTTTAACCTTATTTACACATGGTAGGAAATGTATCGCATTTAGTTTGTTGCCCTTTTCACGCTAAAATATTACTATAGGTATAAGAAGATTGTGGTCTGGGTGCGAACCCAGGCCCAAACAGACTTCATTTCGTGCTGGGAACTAGCGGTCTAATGGAGTGCCTAATAGCGGTACCGGACGTAAAACTCGAAACATAAAGACATAGGGACGTCAGATTGGGGTAACTGGTGTAGGGAAAACTGACCCTTATGCAAAACACCATGTAATTTCACTAATCGCTTGTTTCTGTGCCTATAACGGATATCTCAGCGTGAAAAAAAGAAACAACCAAATACGGTAACTGTTTTTCCTTATGTACCAACGGGAACAAAAATGCGTTTCAGGTGCTCTTTGGGAAAGTTTCTAATAAGAGTCAACCGGAAAGTTGTACCAATTTATCTGATGAGCATTTAAATTGCAAACATTTTTCGTCTAATAATCTCGGATAAATTTTTGGGCCAAAATCCCAAGTCGGGTTTGAAGTACCGTGGGTAAAACGTCTTCTATATAGGAGGATGTTTTAACTGATAGATTTCGTCGAGCTAAATCAAAATTTGTACTCCCTTCGAATTGCATTTTGAACCTAAAGCTAGTCTTTCCCAGTTTCACTGTGCCTGCTAAAAAGTTTCTGGCATGAACATAAAATTTCCTTTGAATCTGCCACACTTCAACAAAAAAAAGTTGAGAGAAACACTTATTCAATTTTAGAGTTCTTACTAACCTATTAAGATATTGTAAACAAGTACGTAGTACTTTAAATGGCGTAACTGTTTTGAAATAACTATTTGTTTACAATCTGACTCCCAACACCAATGTTCAACATCCGAGAGCATTTCTCCATAACACTCACCAAACTGTGAGATAATTATATATCACATGTGGGTTGTTTCAGATGGCCTGATTTAAAATGGGATTATTAATTCCTATTGTGATAGTGATTACAACTTTAGCCGTTGGATGGTTACTTCGTCGACAATTTTTGGAACATACCTTCTTAGCCAGATACGGAATTCCCGGACCGAAGCCTGATCTAATATATGGTAGCGTTTTTTTTTTGATTTGATATATTTGAATAGTATAAACCTAATTTTGTGAATTAACTTTATAATAAAAATAATACTTGGCAGGATAATTGCAAATGCTTTATATTGCAATTATCATGACGAACAGTTTCAAATAGCTAATAATTTATTATATAAGTATACACAAGAATTAATATCTATTTAGCGAATCTGAAGCATGTCAGTCTCTTCTCTTGCATATGTCGAAATCTTGAATTTTATAGATGCAACAAACATTAGATCACGCAATGACATCGATTGCGTTTATAGGAGCCATACCAATAAATACGTACATATTGGTTTCTATCGAAAATTATACCTATGTTTTACGATAAAAGGTAATCTTTTGCAACTGAAAAAAGATCGCGTAAGGGTAATGTCACAATGGATTAAGCAATATGGAAAACATTTTGGATACTACAATGGAGCTCAACCTGTTGTTGTCTGCAGCGATCTGGATACATTGCGCCACATCTTAATCAAGGTATGTTATAAGAGTACACTGATTAAATTTTAGTTATATTGTTGTTCATATTCGAGCAATCAGCTTCTCACTTCTCAACTGGATTTTACGAGTGCGCTAAATAACTAAGGGTATGAAACTTTGAAGCTAAAAGTCAGAATCCACGTAGCAGTCTCCTATTTGTTTGGACAATACTCCTTCAAAGCTAAACGACATTACATCGTGCCTGTTTCAGGAATCTGCCAACTTTAATGATCGTCCCGAAGGACCAATTCATGTTGAGCCCTTTAAAAGTTCGATTATCTTCCTCAAAGGTGAGGAATGGAAGAATGTCCGCAGCGCATTGTCACCGTTATTCAGTACCGCTAAGATGCGGTTTATGGCGGACATCATGTATGGTTGCGTGGAAACGTTTGTGAATATCATTAAAAAGAAAGCTCTGAAAAAGCAGACCTTTGATATGAATCATGTCGCTCAGGGTCTCACGTTAGACGTTATTTGCAAATACGCTTTAGCTATGGACGTCGACTGTCAGCAAAGCGAGGGTGGTTTACGCTTACACGTCAAGGAGTTTTTTAAAAACGCCGAAAACGGTGCGGTCGAACTCAGCTGGGCCTTTCCATTTCTCATTCCTATGTTTAAGGTGCTCTACATGCTTTTCGCGAGCGGAGGACTTATTAAGTCGATTCTCGACAATCTCTCGCTCGTTATTCGTCTTCGACGGAGTGGAGAAGTTCCAAAGCAGCCAGATATGCTCCAGCTGATGCTGGACACGCAAGAGACGATGGGTCGACAAAAAATGACCGACCATCACATTATAGCAAACTCGTTCGTTTTTCTCATCGCTGGTTTTGAGACGAGCGCAACTGCGTTAGCGTTCATTACGCAGATTCTCGTCGAAAAACCGGAAATCCAAGATCGGATTATGGAAGAGGTGAAACGACGCTTTCCTGATCAATTATCCAAGGGGAAGAAACTAACGTATGAAGATCTTCACCAGCTAAAATACCTTGACCAAGTAATTCGTGAGTGCATGCGAATTTACCCTCCAGTAGTGCTTATGGTGACACGCTACTGTCCACGCACGTGTACGATCAACGGATATACGTTTCCTGGCGGTGCCCACGTCTTAGTTCCCGTTTACCACCTGCACCATGACCCGAAACTATGGGATTCGCCAGAAGAATTTCGACCCGAGCGGTTCGAAGTTGACGCCACTCGGCCAATGCACCCAGTGCAGTTTGTAGCCTTCGGACAGGGACCTAGAATTTGCATTGGAATGCGTTTTGCCCTGTTGATAATAAAAATGACCCTGGTTGAACTATTGAGAAACGTTCGACTGACGCCTGGGGATGGTTTTCAGTCGCCGCCCGAACTTATCGTTCCGAACGTGTTAATCAATCCAAAAGGTGGTGTACACGTTCGGTCAGAGTTGATCTAGACATTTATTACATGATTATTTTACGGGCCGTCATGGATTACGAACCGAGAGAATAAATTGTTTAGCTCTTATCTGTGGAACACGGCGACGTGTGATTGTTTTTATGGCCATCGAATTTTTGAATCCAATTGACGGTACGCACAACGCTTTCACGAGCGTGGAAGAGTGATTTTTTGATCGTAGATAGAATTATTTATAGTTATATTATTATTATAGCAAGCAACGATTTTTAATTCCATGCCAGTCATCTGTTTCTGCGAACTGCGAATTTTCATCTTCGGGGTCAAAGTGAAAACTTTTAGTAAATATTCAAACGTCCTTCACTTTATTATATACCAACTTGTAATATATCTATTTTGTACAAAGGTATTACAATTAGTTTTATGAAAAATTAAATCTAAAGTAGTATTTCTATTTTGGCGTTTTACGTTGTCATTAGTAGCTATTCTTAGCAGTTCTATAAAAGAAGTTGTTATTATTAACTGTCCTTTATAATCGTCTCTCTCTACCGTAACTTATTATTATTTCCGTATAATATGGTCTTGCCATGGCCGCAAAAGCATTATGCGCATCGTAAATTGGATTAAAGAGCAAATTATAATTGTTGTTTAGATCCAGCCCGTAACTGTCCCATGCGAACCAATGGGGAAGCTTTCACAGTACTTCAAAAAAGCTGCCTTATGATGTATTCTACGTGATAGATTTTTCATATCAATTTCCCGACAGGGCTGTTGTTAATACAATACGACCAAACGCAGCCCCGGAACACGGAACCTGTTGATGCTGTGTCAAGTATTGCACATATATAAAAGATGCATATCTACAGTAAGTTAAGCATATAACTATCTAGAAGAATTTACTACCACCATTAAACGCAATAAAATTTTGACTTAATGGAAAGCACCAACAGGTATCACAGTAACCAGCTTGTGTTTAAATAGATCAGGTACTGCCCCTGACCGTGCTTCAAACAGTTAAACTCAAATGCGCGTACGGCGACTCTCAAACTTAGGTCACTTCACGCGTTCCTGTATTTAGTAAGCAAGCTTTTCATTGCTACACCCTATGAATACTCTATCAGAGTTTAAATCCTAAGGGACGAAAAACAATTTTTATTGGCACAACTACGTGCTATAAGTACAGTCTATTTACTCATTTAAAACGTTGTCTCAAATACGGCGTACCCTCTTACAGTGATCATGTCGTGGCACCCGGCAGTAAAGAAGCAAAAAAGCTTTCGCACTTCAATAGAGGATTTTTAATTTACTAATATCGCCGACTAAGCCTGCAGGAATCAGTTAGCCAAAAAAATTATTAATAATCCGTCAAATTAGAAAAAAAAAAAAAAATGGTTAATATGCGCAGTATAATGTGACAATATACAGCAGTCGAAAGACGCAGAAACATGCGGCACGCTTGGTGACACGTACCGTTCCAATATATTTTGATGTTGTTATTAATTTCTAACGCTATTCGACGCCTTGACTTATAACTGGTGGCGAGCGCGAATTAATAACATTTGGGGTCATATGCAGTAATCAGGCCAGAGGGTAATACTTACAGTTCTATCTAATACTAAATCTACCTTTCCAGTATTTTCTGGATTCCGAAAACAATTTCGCTTGATTTGAGAGGACACTCTGTCGTCGTCGTCTGCTTTGGCCGATGACACTCTTGGCCTATCAGGCATAGATACAATTTCCTCTATAAAATTCTGCGTGTTTATTACTAGGCCTTGAAGCATACACTGGTTTCAATTCGGTGCCATTAAACTGGATTCCTACATAAAAACAAGCTAAAAATCCCATATGTATCTAATAGATAATGAAAGGATGCTGGAGCGCTTGAACCCAACCAATCATTGGAGAATGCAATTAACACTGAGTAATATCTACCCGCAGCATTTGCTGATACGCTTAATCTTTTCCCCATTGTTATTATATGGCGCCTAATATGCGGCAATTCAGCCTGTTGTCTGCCAGTATTTTCAAAACACTGTTACATGAGGCTAAATGAAAAAAAATTCAAAAACATTATTTTTTTTCCTAAGTAAACTTTTCATGTCAACCTCGATGTGTCTGCTATACGTCGTAAAGTAACTATATGCTAATGACAAAATCAGACTCGTTTAAATTAACCGAGCTCGTCGCTCTTATGTTGTTTTTAGCAAAAATACTTATGAATGTCCGCTCTCCATGAACGTTATTATTAGTAAGTAATTAGCTTGTCTAATAAAAGGTGTCGAATTTGTTTCCGTGGTGGATTCTCTTAAGGTCACGGTTTAAATGCGGCGGCGGCAGCAGACGGATTTGTTGACTAAATCTGGTGATTTTATCTTGTAATACAACATTTTTGTAATAAAATTTAGTAAATAAGCAAAAGTAAGGATTTGCGGGAGGACAGTGATCGACGTGTAATCGAAGCTCACGAGACATTGTACTTCGGTCATTAGCTATCAGATCGGTGCACTTCAAGCAACTTATCTTAAAGTAGAAAGTGTAAATAACTGCAAAAACAATAGTTTCCGTGCTGCACCTTGATCTAAAAACGATTTTTGTTTCGAAGCCCATTTTCTGTGTGGGCCACATGTGAACGAATGCTTCGCAAAAAGAGGAAGTTTAAAGTTGATTGTTGATTACATCAAGGCAGCGGCGGCATCAAGCCTTCGAAGTACTGCGGTAAGCCAATGTATTTTGATTTGAAGAAGATGATTATATAGTAATCGAGCATGAGCGTCATGAGGAATTGATACGCAACGCTTATCTGGACAATTCGGTTAAGGTCCTAGGCATAGCATGCCCTACTTTCATATCAAAATGGTAATGTTTAGATATATTTTTTTAATAATATATATATATATATATATTTTTTTTAAATTTAAATAGTAAATACCGTTTATACAGAATCAATAATTTTACAGATGAGGCAGCTAGGCGCAAGATCCTTAGGCCGTGCATCTTGTTGACGTTTCATGTTCAGCACGAAACGATGTCGCTGCATGAATTCAATATACGTTCTATTTACAAGACCGTAATCGTTCACTTTATTGGAAAATCAGCATCTGTAACATAGACTTGGGATTTCTTTACACTCGTCGCGATTCTCAGTATATCTTTTTGGATATCTTGAACACAAATAAAATAGAAATTAGCATTTTGCGACGTTTGGAAAGTCAACTGCACCCTAACGTTCGTATTTGCGGTCTACTTTCTCTAAACTAGGATAACATAAAAGGAATTACAGGCCAATAAAAAAATCTGGCAAATTTCTAATCGGCAGGTTATTTTTACATAACGAACTTGAAATTCATCGAGATATAGCGATCCTTACAAAATTATCGTTATCGAAGGAATTTTTATTAGCTACTTTCATCCAAAAAGTGCGCCTGTTGATTCTTGGACCTTCTTGGTCCTTTCTGGTTTCGAACTTTATCGGCCGTGCGCTCGGCCTCTGCTGCTTGAAGTTTCTTTTTTCTCGATTTCTCGTCTCTTCTCTCGGCTTCTCTCGCTAACTCCCGCCATAGTTTATCCTGTAAACAAAGTAGCGAATTAGAATTTGCCTCCTGAAATCGAGTTCCTTATCATTCAATTCGATCGATTCCTTACTATAGACCTTTTATCTCTTCTTTTCTATTTAATTAAAAATCAGTCACACTTCGCTCACCTAGTTGTCAAAGTTTTCATCAATACCTGAACTTCATAAATCCGAAAAGTTTTCACGTTCATATATCAAGCAAGTCTTGGGCTAACCTATAATCCTTGTCAGGTTAGCTCCTTAAGTCGGCTCTACGATGACTTCATCATAAAATAATCATTTGTCATATAATCTTAAACAACTAACATAAGTTGAACTAACCTAAGTAGCTATTCAGCTGATACTTGTAAGTTACTGCTCTTCGACATTTTCAGCTTTCAATATTAAGTTTAAACTCAGTTCGTCGAGTACTTCTGATTGGCCGTAGATTACTTAAGGCATCGTGCAAATCTTAGCCACTAGTTTTGCTTACGAAAAAAACACTGAAAAGCTTTTAGTTAAGGTGTTCCCCATCCTACCATTTACAACCTAACGATATATATTGATAGAGGAAGTTCTCGCTAAAAAACAGGCCAGAAAGTCTAAAATAGGGACCGATGTCGAGCTGAAAAAATATTAGGTTATAGGTTGGTTCAAAAAACTCCCCAAGACAAAAGAACTCAGAGGAACAAATTAAAGATTGCAGAATATTTGCGGGACCTGTAGGCCCCAGGATGGTTCCACTGTTTAGCAGGTAACATACCTTAAGTATCTATAATGTTACTTTCCAATGAGTCTGTTTTACCTCTTTCGGGAGTTTAAAGAGACCTCGTGCTAGTTTTGATGGTGCATCTCGTTGAACCTCATCTCGTTGCGTCAAAATGAATTTTGGTACAAGTACGTTGTCAGAAGGACGGCGCTCGAAGTCTAGTGGACTGAACACGGATATGACGCGCTCACTGTCGGGTATTCGAGGCATGCTGAAGCGCTGTGAATATGGAATGACGTTCTTTACGAGTCCGTACGCGTCACGCTCGGTTAGCAGGATCCTGTCTTTAGTTAAGGCGTATTTCTGAGCAAGGCGTTGCAATAATGAACGTTGCACCTGCAGCGCTTTTTTTATCTCACTTAATGACGGGGATGCAGCTCGGCGTTTAAATGCGCGTTGCACATCGAGATTGTCTATCCAGCACCTGATATCCTCAAGCTGACGCCTGAACACTTCAATCTAGAAGGTAAATGACATAATCGGAAATACATTTCAGCCATACAATTAATCAATACACAGAAATAAAGATAGCGATGCACGATAACCGAAACGCTACATCAGCTTTAATTATTGTACAGATGGAGAAGGTGTAACTATTTCGAACTTATTCCAGTTTTCGCCCACGAGCAAACGCAAGATCGAATTGCCATTGTTCGTTATCATTAGTGGGACAGTTATAATTTCTGAAAGCTAAACTTTCATCGTTCAGAAAGCTCCATCGAAGTGTAGGTTCTCAACAACATATACTCTTTCCTTTGAGAAGATCATCATTATTATAAAAGTCGATGTTTAATTAACGTGAACTGACCTTTTTTTCGAAGTAGATGTGACGAACATAGATTTGCGGGTGCCTACTTAAGTACATGGCAATCTTTATGCCGAACTTGATATCATCATAGAGACATTTACTATTCCGAAGTTCAGTATCGATTTTGACTAGTCCTTGATGCCACTGCACCAGCTTGGCCCTAGGGCGTCGCTTCTAAATGCAGACATGCAACGCGCTGACGTTATGAAGTATTCAACGAGCAACCAATTTACGATAATGTAAACACAATGATACAAACAACATTTTGTGCCTTAATTGATGAAACAGGCCACAGTTCACTGTGTAAACATTAGGCGGATATTAGAGCATATAGTACTTTACTATATCTGTTCTACTTTATACTCTTGACTAGCGAAAACGCATTATCCTAGGTGACGTAATGTCGAACACATTATGTCAAATCTTGTTTGTTTCAATTAGGAAAGGTTTACGATTTATTTACGTAACTGGCCAAGTTACATTCGGTTTAGTCAAGCTTTTTACAACTGACAAATTAATGATTTATAGTAATTCACATACAAACCGTGACATCAGCGGAAATCTTCTCTAACATCCTGTAAATGCCGGAAATGTCGTTGTTGATATTCCCGATGAGCGTTTTCTGGTCCTGCAACGCCTGATCAAAACCCTGGACTGCTATTCGAATAGCGGGCGGCAACTCTTTCGATAATGCTAATTTCTTATTCGAATCTATTGGTTCGAAAGAGCCTAACGCGTCGCTTGCTGTAAATAGGTTTTTCAGTACATACATTAATAACGCCTTAAACAATTACGTTAATAACTACACAGGACATTCTTTTTATCGTGGAGAGAATACCAACCGCGCCGATGTATTATTTATTGAAAGATTTTTCAATTTTTGCTGAAATTTTATACGCAACAACCGTGTTTGAAAAAGAAATGATAAAGTAACGCCATTTCTATCTTTGTATAATCTTATCTTAGTAATCTAGAAAGACGTATTGAGCATGACAAGAAATTACCTAAGAATTTTCCGCGTGTTTGTGCACGACAAGCTTAAAATGTCTTCGTCCCTAAGTCAGCATAGAATTGTCGTGGTTATGCCTAGGTGCCAACATGTCGAAGTTCTATTGAACGGTAAATTTGCCAGCAGCGATCGAATAATTTGCAGCTGAAGAGCTCATCGTAAATGGGTGATAAGCGCTAATCAAAGAAAATATCTTCTGTTTTTCTTTATCAACTTCAGCCATATTTGATGTCACAGTATTAACCACGTAACGCTAGGATCGGATCTGAACGATTTAAGAAACCCGCTTCAGGACTTCGTGTAACTGAAGTAGCCCGCATTACTGACATGTCAGTCATGAAATGACTGGGCACCAAAATGATCCAGTATCGATTGCTTCAAGTCTCAGTGGATATTGCGCAAATGACGCGCGTACCTTTGAAGGGTGCGGAGCGCGTGAAGAAGCCCAGTACTGCGTTGGGCAACGGGCAATTACAGCAAGGGACGCTGTTGAGGTCAACAACATTTCGAATGCGGTCAAAGCCGTTAGATGAAAGTAAAAAACATCTTTGGCACTGTAGCATCGTTATTTTAATTATCAGTGATTTATTATTAACGCACGGAGTGTTTACGTTTACAGCAGCCGAACTTGCTTATGGCTGCAGTACGCTACTGTGAGCACCCCACGAGGGTTTATGCTTGTAAACCCCGATTATTTCTCTCATTTGTATTAGGACCTTTTTAGTGTCCTTTGCAAGAAATTACTCGTTCGTTAGCCTTGAGCTAAATCCCCTCGTGAACGCCCAAATAAATAAATGTTAAAGTTAAACATGTCAGGTTAATATAATTTAGTATATATACGAGAACGAACCCGTAGTGCTCCGTTGATGCATTGCTCCCTCAAGTGTAAATAAAAAGCTAGATTTGTTACTGATATGATCAATGATAAGGATATAAAAAGCCTTTCATAGGGACGTGCATCTCGCAGATATCAATAGCGCTACTACTGGTACCTTTAAGACTCTCTTGAATACGTCAAGAACTCTCAAAAACCAAGTCGCTCTTCAGCAATATTTATTATATATATTACAAATACTCTAATTTTCTTTAGCTATAGCGTCTACAAATATCCAACGTTTCGTATAAACCAGAAATAATAGGCACAAAAGCAGATCATTGTAAGCAACTAGCAGTAGATGTATAATTAAGTCACTACTATGATAGAATAGTATTCGTCAGACCCAGGTATAATTAATGCAACCGACAGCTTGTTCAAAATGCCTCTTTGAATGTCCGGCCGGAACCATGAGAACGGCGCTTTTCGGACCCTTCTGAGCCTTCTTTTTTTCGCCAGATTACAACCTATACATAGTTCTCTAACCGTATTTGATGGAACCCAGTCTAAGAGAAAATTAGATTTTCGCATGGCTAACGCCACGCACGGCTATTGATAGTAAGTGGAGCTATTCTATGTCGCACTTCGACAAGAGTAACCGTTTAAAGAGTATGGCGTATTTGAATATACAAGCAATTTATCCGCACAACGTTTGTGGTCGCTGGATCAGCCACGTGTCTGGCCAGCCAGAGACTTCCGAACTTCAGTTTCGAAGTTGAGTCGCTCAGAAATGCCACACGTATTGGCACACACAAAAATCTATCGATAGATTCGGTGGGCCGTATCTCGGCGTACATACTACACGCTAAGTTTGTTCAATTGTAAATGCATTTCATTCTAAATAGTATACCAGTGGCTGAACAGGGAACAAGAAGAAGCTTAGGCAATTACCTGTGATATCGTTAAGGTTGTCCGAGTTCACACGGGAACACGTAAAAACGTTAGCTGAAATGACTTTGTGCCTATTGTATAACGTTATACGCCTAGCAACTCGCTATGTTATTTTGTCAATGAAATGATTGTTGATATCGAGCACCTACTAACTTGATTGATCGCGGCTCTAAGTAGCAAATTGTCTATTGGTTTTTATATAAAAAGCACGTTAAATTATTTTGTGACTCATTACATTTTATTAATTAGAACTAATTCATCGGCCGTAGAGAGTAGATGTTAGAAAACAGGAAATATTAATTTGATATTTTTACTTGTGAAAAAAAATAAGAAAACTGTAATTATGCATTTGCACATACAAACTGTAAATAAATATAGCTCTAAAGGATTGCGTCAAAAACAAATTTTACTAATGGATTAATTTTGAAAATGTTTATCTGAAATAGACGTTTCTATGCATAATCTATACTTATCTCATTACGGTGCTTGAAAATACTTGTTATTACTGTAAAATCAACGCCTCTAAATGTACAAGGCTTCGCTGGCAAGATATTCCACCAGCATGCTCAGTGTTTCTATCGGATGCAAACTTCACAATCGGGCTGTCGCGCTGAAATCCTTCACATTGCTCTTATCCAAATCAGCCCCGTTCCTAAGCCATAAAAGTAAAGGCATAACTTTCGAGTAGTTCCTCATTGTGAGTCCTGACATACATATTTACTTTTGTATAAGTGAACAATAAATGCAAAGAATCGTATTCGTTAATCCAAGGGGTTTGATCTAGCTTCCTTGAAGTAATCGCTCGCGGTATCCCGTGGCTCGCTGACTAGATCCAATATTTGTCCTCTGTGATTTATGAAGTCTGAGTGCGTTTGCAACATCCCAGAAAAATCCGTAAAGGTATCTTAGCAAAACTGTGGTTCAGTTTGAACAAGGTTAATTAGGGCCTTGTCAATGTTTTTAAATTAATAAGTTGTTCGTCAGTAACACCATCTCTGTTATATGGCTTGGTGCACTACTTGCACGGACGGAGGGAACATAACCATTTATTGACATACAAATTAGCTTTTGTCAATCGGTCGGTTTATACCTTTTTTCTATGTTTTGTTATTGTTGTTGTTGTTGTATACACATTGTTCATATAATGATCGTGAAATCATTAAATTGCCACGCCCATATTTGCTTGTTGGTATATCCTCTGTGGTATATAAAAATATGGAAAAAAATTATAGAAAATATAGAAAAAAAAAATTCCGTCAGATTGGCGTAATTGAATCGGAAAATCGAAAAAAAACCTATCGGCTTTTTCTTTTTTGTAATTCGAAAGCTCCATAAAGCAAATGTGACTTTGAGTAACGTATCCATGTGACACTTGTTGATAACTATGTCGATTCATTCGCAAGTTTGAATTCGTCTGCTTTTTAGGGCCACGGATTGAGTATTCTGATGAAAAGACTTACGGGGCTTTGTTCCGTCTTCTGAGTTACTATGTCACCATTGAACGTACATACTACAAAAAAAATAGGAGATAGGATACCGGGTTGAATGTCTTCAGTTCTGAAGAGTACGATAGTCTATTATTGTGGCTTTAGAGATTGTTTGATACTACATTTATCGACAGGATTCAACTCCGACCTGAGTATGGGCCACCTTTTAGGTATTGGTTCGTAAAACCGAAAAGACATGGTGTACAATAAAGCGCAAGGCAATATGCAATATCACCTAATAAAAAGGTTATCACGATCATGATCTCGGTATAAAATCATTGAGCGTCAGTATCTCACATTAGATATAAGTGTGATGTAAGATAAGAGTGGTTTATCTGGGAAGCCGAGGTCAAAATATGGCTATCTGAACTATCAACAAACTTTTTGCTGTAGATTTCGACATCTATTGCAGTAAGAAAAAAAGTACTAACATTGTATTGCACTACGTTAATTAAAGTTGAACAGTTATTATCTTTACTTCTGAGCTACATAGTTAAACTTATGTGTGCATATAATAGTTTAACTGGTACAACAATTCGGCAACTTTGCACACATTGTCTTAAGCGTTTCGAGCTGGCCGTGTGCTGAACGGGCCATTGACATACAAAACGTAACTGCAAGACAATACACTTCTTAATTTAACTTAGCAAGTTTTAATTAAGTGTTGTAGCTAGCTTTCTCTTGCGGACAAACTTGTCAACTCCAGTTGATCAAGCAGATTATGACCGTTTGTACATTGGGAGGACTAAATCATAACGACTTAGCTCGTGTTCTCTAATGAGGTAGTTAGCTACGATCTAACAAGGAAGGAGGTTAACAAAAAGCATCGAGATCAGACGAAAAAAGAAGGCCGAAGCTCTGGCAACGAAATATCTCTAAGAATGTACGGTTTTGTTACGTTCATCTAACGTTTTCTGCAAAGGAACGCGTTTCCTTTCAAAAAACGTCCACGCATCTGGATTATCGACAGTATATTTATCAACTACGCTCACTAAATACTTACAACTAAGCTAATATAGAGATGCAGATTGGCATTATTACTTGTGTGCAGTTCTCATGAAATACGACGCACATTAAAGAAGCTTGGAAAGTCAAACAGGTCTGCTTTTTTAAGCGTTAATATACGCGCTAAATGTCTCAACTTGTTTGATCGCAAACAACTTAAGCCTGAAATTAGCAATAAAATCAATTCGGTACATATAGTTCAATGAAAAATTTAATATGTTTATAAGGATGTGATAAAGATGTGAAGAAGTTCACCATGACCCGTCGTCTCTCACGGTAACGGTGGCGGTCTTTGCCGAAAGGTAGCGACCGGGAGACGATCACCAAGGCGGTACCATTTCACAGAGGACTGTTGAAAGAACTAAAGGAAAAGAAGTAGCGATGAACAGGGGGTTGTCGAGATCGATCCGGAGGGATTTCGATTTAAAGGCGGCCGGATAATTTCAACGGACAGCACTTGTAATTTGCGATAGGGAATCGATTTCGGGACACATTTGTCATTGTAGGGTTGGTCGTAGGAGGTGTGGACCCCCCCACACTAAAGGGGATAGCGCCGTTACTGGATAGGTGCTGGCTGGGAGCGGCTGCCGAATTACCACCGTTTTTCAAGTACGGTGGGCTATTACCATTAGGACGACCAGCGGCCTCCCGTACGGATACCGGTCATGGTATAATAATGGGTAAGGTTCGTTTGATCCTTGGGAAATTGTCCGGCCCGTTTGATCATCAGGATACCGAAAAAGTTCGATATTTCGAACAAGCAAAAATGTATTTCCAATTTAACTTTGATTCTAGTCTCTGACTAAATGTTGCTTACCTTATTTGGCAGGGATTTTATACTTTTTACGAAATGGTAGATATTTTACGATATATATCGAATAATTTTTCCAAAACGTTTAGCGAAGTATGTGATATGTCCAATATCTCTATTCGTCTGTCATATCAGTCTAAACGGAGTTATAAGTTACCAACTGAGTTATTTCAGCTGATGTCGACGTCGCTCTGCAGCAGGCAAAAGGCCGCGAACTAGCATGCTGAAAACGCCGCTTGAATAAGTTAATTGGAACTAGCATTGTCAACTGTGAAAGCATCTCATTGTTGACAACGTAATGATCATTTTGCAGTCGACATTTTAGTTACACACTCGATATTGATGCCTATTCACGACGGTACAATTGATTATGTATTATTAATACGTTTACCTATTTATCAAGTGTGCGTTATTTTTCCCTTGGTATTGGCTCGTTAGCCCAGGAACGATTTCGAGAAACGTTCTCCCCT